CCGCGGTTCAATCCCCCAGCACCACATGCCAGCCAGCCCTGCCCCCTGGTGGGCTGAGCTGGACACACACACACACACACACACACACACACACACACACAAAAAATGTTAAAAATAAAAAAAAAAATTTGAAAAAAAAAAAAGATTGATCAGAGACAATGAAATGGCAGGAGATAATGCACAAATGACAGTAAAAAAAAAATCTGTTCACATCTAGTGTAGTGGTGCATACCTATAATTCCAGCACTTAGAAGGCTGAGGTAAGAGGACTGCTACAAGTTCAAGGCCAGCCTAGCTGTCACAGGGAGTTCAAGGGCAAACCAAGCAAAATAGCAAATCCCATTTCAAAAAACAAACAAACAACAAAAAAAACAAAAAAAAAAACCTGTTCATATTAGTCATGGCAGAAAACTTCCCAAGTAGGAAAAAAATAATTTGACATACAATAGGTGAGGCATATAGGATTCCAATTAGCCATGGGAGGGGGGGGGAACCTATGCCAAGGCATGTAATAGTCAAGATTAGGAATGGGTATGGTCCTGTGTGCCTGTAATCCCAGCTCTAGGGAAGTTGTGACAGAAGAGTGACAGGAGGAGCACTATGTTCTAACTGTATAGCCAGACCCTGTATCATTAAAAAAAAAAAAGTCAAGACTCCAGAAATTCAAAACAAGAACATTAAAAGCTGTTAGAAAATAAACTTGAAAACCTTGATTTGCCAAATAATTTTTTATTCAAAATACTTAATAAATAAAACCTATTAAAAGAAACAACTCACCTAGGAATGAAAGCCCATCAGAATCACAGCTGACTTCTCAAAACAAACCCTCAAGTCAAGCAGAGCTTGCAGTGAAGTATTACAAGCCTTAAAAGAAAACAACCTCCAACCCAGATTACCCCAAAACTATCTTTGAAAATTGGTGGAAAAATAAAGATTCTTCTATAATAAAAAACGGAGGAAATTTATAAACAAATCAGCACTCCAAAATGTTCTGGGGGTGGGGGTGGGGCACAACAAAATGTTCTGAGGGCCAGGAAGATAGATGGCTCAGTAGAATAAGCACTTGCCAGTCAAGTGCAAGGGCCTGAGTTCAATCCCTGGTTCCGCAAAAAAAAAAAAAAAAAAAAGTTCTGAACAACATTCTGGAAAGAGAAAACAAGGACTGCAACTCCACAAATCTCAAAAGAAAGAATCCAGTAGACAAGGCAAGCAAACAGAAAGGAAAAAAGAAATCAAACAACAGGAAAATAGCATGATAAGGGTAAGTCAAAAATAGCATGAGAAGGGGAAGTCAATGCATAACAGTTATAACAATCAATGTTAATGGCTTCAATTCATTAATCAAAAGAAACAGACTGGCAGAATGGAACAAGAAGCAAAATCTAGCCAGGTGTAGTGGTGAACACCTGTTAACTCAGCACTTAGGAGGCTGAGGCAGGATGATCACCTGAGTTTGAGGCCAGCCTGGCCTACATAAATATCCGCCCCCCGAAAAAAATCCCAAAAACCAAAAACCAAAAAATCCCAACAGGTCAAGCCCAAAGCTTATACACAGGATGAAATCATATGGATCAGATCAGAAATCAATGCAATAAAGACTAAGAAAACACAAAGAATAAACTGCAGAGTTGGTTCTTTGAAAGACTAAAATTGACAAACACTTAGTCTGCCATCTTTATCAAAAAAAAGTACAGACTTAAATCCATACAATTAGGAATGAAAAAGGCGAAATCACAACAGAGCCTGCAAAAATCCAAATGATTTATATCTACTTTAAGAACCTGGATTCTAGTAAAATGAAAAATGCAAAAGAAATGGACAGACTCCTAAATACATATGAATTACCAAAGTGAATAAAAAATACAAAAATCTTAAATAAACCAGTATCAACAAATGATACTGAAGATTTAACTAAAAACCTACCAAAAAAGAAAAGCACTGGTCCTGACAGGTTTACTGCTGAATTCTTCATGAAACTGAGAGAAGATCTGATGTTGCTACTTCTCAAACTCTTTAATGGAGAGGGAAGAAATACTCCCAAATCCACTTCCAAAAGCAAGCATTACTTGACATCAAAATCAGATTATAGGGCTGGCCAGATAGCTCAGTGAACTGAAGCGCCTGCTTAGGCAAAGCGCAGGGACTGGGTTTCAATTTCCAGCATGCTGTGCCAGCCGTGCCCCCGGGGTGTGCTGAGACAGCAATTGAGACTGACCTGTAAACCCAGTACTTGGAAGGCTGAAAACAGGAGAATCACTACAACTCCAATCTGTGTAGTGAGACCCTATAGACCCTATACTAAGTACAAAAAAAAAAAAAAAAAAAGATTAAAATGCAAAAATCCTTAATAAGATACTTACAAATAGAATACAGCAAATCACCAAGGAGATGATATATCATGACTAAGCAGGATTCATCCCATGGATGCAGGGATGATCCAACATACACAAAATCAATGTAATAATATCATATTAATAGAGCCCAGGTCAAAAACCGTATGATTATCTCAACAGATGCAGAAAAAGGGTCTGACAAAGTCTAACACCTATTCATGATAAAACTCTGCAGTATGTTTTTAGGATACAGCATGCAGCCTGCCTCCCCCTTTCTCTTTACTATAGCCAAACCATTTACTCAGCTATTCTTAAGGATCAACAGCCTTCTATAGAGCAATGAGGAAGGGCTAAGCTGCCATGCTTTACCAGCTGGCTCTTTTCACACCAACTGGGTGGATCTTCAAATGAATGTAGGTAGAAAGGCCCCATGATGGCCCAGCCCCTATAATGCAGCAAGACCTGAAACCCAGGTGTCCATGAGTATACACCCAGGAGAGGTCAGCTGCCAAGAATGCCAATTGCACTACATCAGAAAGAAATGCTTCCCTGAAACATCATACCAACCTGATGTGCCTGGGCAGCGATTACAGGAGGGAAACAAGAAGGGACTGAGAAGAGGGCAGTCTGAATAATGAAGTGAGCGTCCTGGTCATGGCTTATTGTCCCCTGGCCCAGCTTCCTCAAATAAAAGTTGATGCTCTGGCCTGTTTACCCCAAGGCACATTGGGATTCAACCAGACAATCTATACTTTGGCTTAATAAGAGCCTTAGTCCACTGAACTCAAGGTAAGATCCCATTGGCTCACAGTTCACTGAATTCAAAGGGTGATTCCATCTTTACAGCCTAAGTCCATCCATTCTTTTTTTGTGTGTGTGTTCTTTTGGTGGAACACGGGATTGAACTCAGGCCCTTGCACTTGCCAGAGAAAGACCATCCATTCTTTTTTGGTTTTTTTTGGGTGGAACCGGGGATTGAACTCAGGCCTGGTGCTTGCCAGGGAAGCGCTTATTCTACTGAGCCATCTCCCCGGCCCCAACCATCCATTCTTTTCTTTCTTTTTTTTTTTTAATTTTTATTTGTGTGTGTGTGTGTGTGTGTGTGTGTGTGTGTGGCCAGCTCAGCCCA